TGCAGAGGTAACGCTGGTGTTGGTGCAGTGGAATTGGACCAGCAAAGGTTTGGTTACAGAACTGGCAGGAAACCAGCAGAAAGTCCTCCTTCTGGTTCAGATGTCCGTCAAAACATCTGGTCCCAGGCAGGATTCTGGTCAGACTGTCACGGAAGCTGCTCAACAGTGCCACCTGCTGCCCTTCTGACTGTGTGTCTAAGTCTTTAATGTTTGCCTGCATTTCAGAGACTTTCTGAAGTCTGTTCCAGGTGTGGTCAAAGAAGGGAAGGGAGTGGTGTCTGTGATCAGCCCCCCGGGTCTGAACGTGTCTGTCCAGGTTAACTGAAGCTCCTCTACTCCCCTGCTGTGACCCTGATTCTTCTGATTCTTCTTGGTGAGGGTCCATCACCTCCTCTGTCTCTGCTCCATCACTGTTCCCTGGACTGGCTGAGGTGTGGTCCCCCAGGTTGGACTTCCTGTCCTCCTCTACACTGGTGTCCATGATTTCGGAGCAAAGAACTAATTAAAGAAAAAAAAAACTTGTATGAGATGTGGACCAGGTGTACTAGTGTATGGTGTGCAGCTGGTTTTGCTGAAGAACTTTAAATATAACTGAGCAAATGGAAACAAATCTTTTTTTTTTTTTAAGATGTTTTTTAAATAATCTCACGGGATTATTCCCGGGGCGTGGTTTAGCTTCTTTTTAAACAAAAATCTTAAATCTGACCCAAACCGCTACTGTGCGTGTGCGTGCGTGTGCATGTGTGCGCGTGCACAGTACCGCTCTTTCTGCGCGGGTTTGTCTGTTTGCGTCTTTGACAGCGCTGACTCTCAGACATGATCCAACTTAGTCTCCTAGACCAGGACCGAAGTGTTCCTGAAACACACACACACACACACACACACACACACCTTTTATCCATTTTCTGTCATTTAGTTTATGAACTGCAATAATATCTGATCAAAAATTAGACTTAGGTTAAAAAAAAAGAATTTTAAAATTACAGCAGTATTCGTGACGTCAAAAGACAAGGTACATTTAAACTATTAATGCACACACACACGAACACACAACAACTGTGCCTGTGTGTGTCCTCCTCTCTCCATCTCCCTCTCACCTGTCTCCTCAGGTGCTGCAGTGACGCAGTGCAGGTGCTGCTCTTTGATTGGCTGCTGAAGAAAAACTGTTTCTGCCCGCAACACCGAGTCAGGGTCACAGCTGCCTCACATAGGCCCCGCCTACTTGGTGATGACGTGGCACGAAGCATGTTCCTCACGGTAAGCCTGTGTGTGTTTCCAGGACCTTGGCTTTATGCGCCATCTAGTGGCGTATAAAGACAATGACAACAACCGTATCTATCGTTGTTAGATTTCTTGTGTGAGCTTTAAATGTAAAGATTTTCCTGCAGACTGTTGGCGGCGGACTACAGACTGTAGGATGTAGACTGTAGGATGTAGACTGTAGGATGTAGACTGTAGGATGTAGACTGTAGGATGTAGACTGCAGGTTAAGATCCTCCTAGTGTGTGGGCTGTTTGGTGTAAACTGTAGACCGTAGCCTGTAGAGGCACTGTCAACTGTAGGCTCTACACTGTAGACTTTAGGCTGTAGACTAGACCACACCAGTGTTGTGGCCAAACCCTCGGGTCGAGGCCCTGGTTTGATGGTCGACTTTATCAACATCAGAAAAATCCTTTACCTCAGAGCCACAGATCGTGATTAAAGACCCATTAAAACTGCAGCTGTGGCTTACACCTCTGAGGTGTCTCTCGTGTCTACGATGTCCTTACGTCCCTTCTTCTCTGATGGTTGAGTGTGGAACCACAGTAAGTTCCTCAGCCAGCATCCTGCAGGAACTTGGACTGGAAACGGTTCCAGAGCTTTTTGGCAGCAGCACCTCTTTGTTGATTAATATTCCTGAAAATCAGCTTCCTGTCAAAGATGGTTGCCATGCCAACTGACAGGGGACAGAGCTGGTGGTCATTAGCTCAGGGGGACGAAGGCCAGGAAGTGCCCCGCTGACGTTTGAATCTATAACAACAAACACTGGCTTTGATCCATTTCCCTTTGACAAATGAAACAAACCTCCATCAGTCCAAGGCTAGGCTATAAGCCGGGCTTATTTTGTCACTGTATAATGACATATAGTATGGTAGGGATTTGCATTAGCAGCATTCAAGAAATTAGCTTATTGTTATTAACTATTAACTATTAGCATAGTTTGGATTTGAGCGCAATAGTTAGCTTGGTGTAGCAAAGACAATTGTTACTAAAATGAGAAATGAACAAACAAGAACAACGACGGAAAAACCAACAGAAGAAAAGTGTTTGGTGAGGAGAGGACAGACTCCACTGTCCATTCATTGTGGACATGATTGTGACTGTTGACACAGTTAGTGTGTGTGTGTTTTTGTGGACACTGTTGGACGCTGTGACTGAGTGAAAGACTCCCCCGGACGTCGGAGCGAGTCCAGCTTCTCAGGTCACTTCCTCATTTGTGACTTGAGTTGTCGTTTGTGTTTGGATACAGAACATGAAGTGTTGGAAGGTTCCTGAGTTGGAGCAGCCTTGCTTAGCAACACTCTCTTCAACTGAGGTCAGTCACGCCCCCTGGTGGAGAGTAGAGGCACGTGCAGAAAAACAGCACTGATGGAGAGAGACCGCAGAAGTTGAGAGTGAGGAAGAAAAGTCGGAATTTACAGAGAGATTAATCGAGATGTGCAAAAAAGAAAACAAGAAATCGATAAGAGAGAGGAACCAGAATTCAAAGAAAGACAAGAACCAGGATTTAAAAAAAGAAAGTCAAATAACCTGTAATTTGACGTCGGACTTGGTGGAAATAAGTAATATGGATAATGATTTAATTCCATACAAAAATAAATCATAAAAAATATGTATTTATTTCGTCTTTTCATTATTTTCATGTCGTGTGCTCGCTGACCACTCCTTGAGACTTCATTTCCCAGAGTTCCTTTCGGCGTCTGGGTGGAGGTGTCATTGTCTTATCATTCTCATCTTTGATGGAGACACGGACTCCAGTCAGAAATTGTCAGTCCCGGTTCTGATGTCCGTCCTCCTCCACAGATCTGCCACGGCTTTACAGAACCTCCAGTGTCCAGGACTCTGCGTCTCTTTAACTCGTCTCGGTACAGGTGGTTCAGGTCTCGGTTCTACGTGACCCATAGTTCTGGCGTCGGAGATGGACGCGGCCGAGTGCAGGGTAAAGGTGATGTGTCGGTTCCGGCCTCTGAACGGAGCCGAACGGAACCGCGGAGACAAATACATCCCCAAATTTAACGGAGCAGACACAGTGGTCGTAGCGGTGAGTCCGGTTCCGTTGGTCCGCTGCGATGGACATGTTTCGGTCTATTCTCCGATTGTTTTCTTTTCTCTCTTCCCATAAATAATCACACACCCACACATATACACACACACATATGTGTATTTTTGTGCTGTATTTCTTTGTCATTATCTTTTATTTTTTATTATTTTTGGAATGTTGCGTCTGCTGTTGCTCACTTGAAAACGTCAACAGTGCAGAAACAACATTAAAAGGCAACATTAAGAGGCTCAGTTTCGTTGTTACAATAACAATAAAGACCATAAAATTAAAATAAATAAATGAAATAGTACAATAAAGACCATAAAATAAAAATAAATAAATGAAATAGTAATAGTAATAGTTAACAATAATGATTTCCAGAGATTTATTGACGTTTGACCCCCAGTGGTCGGCAGCCGTCGAGGTCTGGCCACGCCCAGCCTCCAAGGCTGCTCGGGTAAATGCAGGGTAAATGGGCTGCAGCCTACTGAATAGGACTGATGTAACGTCTGCCTCTTCTTCTCGTGTGGATTTCTACGATTTGTTTTTCCACAATTTCATGTTGTTTATTTTCACATTCTGTTTTTTCCGACCTTTATTTTGAAACTGTGTTTCCTGTGTCTCAGGGAAAACCCTACGTGTTCGACAGAGTCCTAGATCCAGAGACGGAACAGATCCAGGTCTACGATGTCTGCGCCAAACAGATTGTTCGAGGTCAGCCTTCTGGCAGCCAATCAGCTGCTTCCGTTTAACACTTTGACCTGTCCTGGACTCCACGGTGTCCCTGCTGTGGTGTCTCTTCTAAGTCCAGTAACGGACTGGTTTTTCAGGACCATGTTTGGTGAATTTGAAAGAACATTCTGCCGATCTGCTTCACTGGGTTTTTACAGCCTGCCTTGTTTGTTGCTTTAGATGTTTTGGGCGGATACAACGGGACGATCTTCGCATATGGACAGACGTCGTCAGGGAAGACACACACCATGGAGGTCAGAGGTCATTCTTTCTGAATCCGTTCAAATTCTGAAAAGGTAGAAAGGTGAAAATGGTGCCACAGCCAAGCGATGATTGCGACGATGAGTTCCAGAATAAAACGACAGCTGAACATCAATCCAAAAAAAAAGTGTTGTATGGTGACGATGATACGGTTTTCAGGGGAACTTACACGATCCTCGGCAGATGGGAATCGTTCCTCGGATTTCCAGAGACATTTTCGATCACATTTATTCCATGGATGAAAACCTGGAATTCCACATTAAGGTGATGATGTCACCGATGTTGTCATAATAATCTTTTAATCATGTCTTAACTGATCTGATTGTACTGAATGTGGTGACCTCTCTCTGCAGGTCTCTTATTTTGAAATCTATCTGGACAAAATCCGAGATCTGCTTGACGGTAAAAGGCTTCAACCTGTCAACCCCTAAAACAGTGGCCTGAGGTGTAATTCCCACCTCGGCCTCCAGTGTCGTCCTGCCTGAACACATCCACATTATCAGAACTTCATCGTGTCTTTAGGAACCATCAAGGTTCTGCAGAACTGTTAGGGCAACACCATTGGAACCAGTAGAACAATAGACTGAAACATCAGTCACTGACCCTGATACTGTGAGGGCAGGCACAGAGGGCGCCGTTGGCTTTGATGGACCAGTTGTACTAATGTTACAGTACTGTCTGCTGTAGAAAAAATCATTTATATTTTTGTGTTTCAGTGTCAAAGACAAACCTGGCTGTTCACGAGGACAAGAACCGGGTCCCCTTCGTAAAGGTACCTGAGCTGAAAGTTCTCCGTCCTTAAACTTTGGAATATACAGAAAAAACAGTATTTTACTGCAGTACTAACACTTCCTGGCACTGGTACTGTCTCAACTCTGGTACCAGTGATTCTGATATGGTACTGTTACAGGTGCTGGTACTGATAGTAGTGCTGGTTCTTTTTCTTGGTTCCAGGGTTGTACGGAGAGATTTGTCTCCAGTCCTGATGAAGTGATGGACGTGATTGACGAAGGGAAAGCAAACAGACACGTGGCTGTGACCAGTGAGCATCTGTCTCCTCACCTGTCTGTCTGTCTGTCCTCACCCGCTGTCCTCACCTGTCTGTCTCTCTGTCCCACAGACATGAATGAGCACAGTTCTCGTAGTCACACCATCTTCCTGATCAACATCAAACAGGAAAACGTGGAGACGGAGACCAAACTTTCAGGGAAACTTTATCTGGTGGACCTGGCAGGGAGCGAGAAGGTTCTTCCACACTCGTGATGTGTCTTTCCTCACCCCTGGCTCCCTCACATGTCCTCACATGAATATGTCTCTTGTTGTCCAGGTGAGCAAGACCGGAGCAGAAGGCTCGGTGTTGGACGAAGCCAAGAACATCAACAAGTCTCTGTCGGCTCTGGGGAACGTGATCGCTGCTCTGAGCGAAGGGACGGTCAGTGTCCAGTGACCAGTCCTCCCGTGTCTCTGTATGTCCCTCAGTTTTGTCCTCTGAACAGCCTTTTTTGTCATCTCCAGAAGACACATGTCCCCTACAGGGACAGTAAAATGACCCGAATCCTTCAGGACTCCCTGGGGGGAAACTGTCGGACCACCATCATCATCTGCTGCTCCCCGTCGGTCTACAATGAGACCGAGACCAAGTCCACTCTCATGTTTGGACAGAGGTAGAGCAGCAAGTCTGAGTAGACTGACAGGAGAGAGACAGGACGAAGAGGCTCATACGTGTGTGTGTGTGTGTGTGTTTCAGAGCTAAAACCATCAAAAACACCGTTTGTCTGAATCTGGAACTGACGGCGGAAGAATGGAAGAAAAAATATGAAAGTGAGAAAGAAAAATGTCGGAGTCTCAACGTCCTGGTCCAGAAACTGGAGCAGGAACTGAAACGTTGGAGAAAAGGTACTTATGTCATCCAGCTGAGTATTGAGTATGGTGCTCTGATTGATCATCTCTGTGGTGCCGGCTTGTCTGGTTCTGAATGGCTTCTTCAGGGGAGTCGGTACCTGAGGCGGAACAGCTGAGCAACAGAAAAAAGAAGAGCAGCAGTGAGACGAAGGGGGCGGTGAAGGGGGAGGAGGAGGAGGAGGCTGCAGCCTCTGTCCCTCTGTCTGACAAAGAGAAGGTTCAGTACGAGACCCTGATCACAGACCTGTACCAGCAGCTGGATGACAAGGTGACGCTGTGCTAACGACCTTCAGCTCTCTCCGTCTGCTGACCTCACATCTTCATCCCTCGTTCTGACTTGTGTTCCAGGACGATGAGCTCAACCAGCAGAGTCAGAGCATCGAGAAACTTAAGCAGCAGCTCCTGGATCACGAGGAGGTGAGTCTTCGTGTCGCATTTGGACATTACATCGGTACCAGGGCCTGCGTGACAATTAGGTCAAAGTTGAGTCGACAAATATGTTAACACAGCTGTCAGTTGTTCCGTCAGCTCCGATCAGTTTTTTTGGTGACAGGTTCTTCCTCCTGGTCGTCTGCTCCCATGGTGTGGACTCTCCCACACATGTTAACAGATGTTTCTTTTCTGTCCTCCACTTCTATAGCTCCTGACCTCCAGTCGTCAGCACCAAGAGCGTTTGCAGGAAGAGCTGTCTCAGCTGCAGAAGGACAACGAGTCAGGTAAACAGGAGGTGAAGGAGGTTCTGCAGGCGCTGGAGGAACTCGCTGTTAACTATGACCACAAAAGCCAGGAAGTAGAGGAGAAGAACCACACCAACCTGAAACTTAACCAGGAGCTGGCCCAGAAAACTGTGAGTAGACATAAGGTTTAGGCCCAAAGGTTAGAGGGGACATGGTCCTGACTCTGCCGCTCTCCGTCCAGGTGAGTCTGGAGACCATTCAGAGAGACTTCTCCCAGCTCCAGGATCTCAGCTGTCATCACAAGAAGAGGTCAGCAGAAATCCTCAACCTCCTGCTGAGGGACCTTGGTGACATCGGCAAAGCCCTGGGAACCACTGAACCAGTCAAGGTGAGACTGGTTCTGGTCCAGAACATCTGCTTCTCTCAGGTGGACCTCTGACCGCTGAGTCCTCCGTGTCCCTGCAGGTGACAGAGGCCGGCGGAGCCTTGGAGGACGACTTCACCGCCGCTCGTCTCTACATGAGCAAGATCAGCTCCGACGCCAAATCAACAGTGAGTCGGAGCAGACACCTGGAGATGAAGCTGCAGGAGAACATCCACAGCCGGGAGGAGCACGAGAAGGAGCTGGGCAGTCTGCAGCTGCTGGTCTCGCAGGTGAACTTTGTCATCGTGATCTCGCCGCCACTGCTGTCGTAAGTCTCTGAGGCCACTGTGATGTGTGTGTGTGTGTGCGTTCCAGCTTCAGACAAAGGGGGAGTCACTGAGCGCCGCCCTCCACGAGGTGGAGCTAAAGAAGCGCCAGTTGGAAGAGAATCAAGACGCTCTGATGGAAGAGGTCGCTAAACTGCAAGCTGAAGGTCAAAGGGCATCCTGCTCTCAGATTGGTCTAAGTTACACTGCTCTCTGGTTGGCTGACATATTGTGTGTGTGTGTGTGTGTGTGTGTGTGTGCGTTCAGGTCAGCTGATGGTCAATGACAAAGAGAAAGACCACATGAGGCTGAAAGACGCCGTGGAGATGAAGGTAACAGCACACCGACGCAGGGTTAGAGGTCGGAGGTCAGAGGTCAGAGATGTGAGAAGTGTGTGTTCTATTTGTAGAGAACGTTAGAAGAACAGATGAAGAACCACAGAGAGGTCCATCACAAACATCTGAGGAGCCTGAGGGATGAGCTGGAGCAGAAACAACGGGACCAGGATCAGCTCAGAGAGTGAGTCCTGATCACTGATCCTGTTTGTACCGCACCCTGAAAAGGATTGACTACAGGTCGGACGTTCTTCAGTCTTTTTCAGGCCCTGCAGCTGGAGAACAGGAAACTCATGTCAGACTTTGACAAAATCAAATCTGAGGAGGAGAAAAAGGAGAAAAACCTCCAGAAACTGCAGTGAGTTCAGGTTTTCTTCTTGGGTGGTTAGAGGGTGTGGAGGAAGAGAGGTTGCCCCCTGGTGGTAATATCTGACTGCAACCCCAGTGGTTCGATCAGTGACTATGCGATATCATCTCTGTGTGAATCAGGTTTCTCAACAAGAAGCGAGAACAAGCCCGAGAAGACGTGAAGGGTCTGGAGGAGACCGTGGTGAGTCCATCTGTACCTTAGTCCCAGTACCTGGACCAGATCAGCTGAGACGATTACTGACATTAAATCATTAACTCCAGGTCAAGGAACTTCACACGTTGAATAATCTTCGTAAACTCTTCATCGACGACGTCGGCACCAGATTGAAGAACGTGAGTTGTTTGTCGTTGTGTTCAGGATTTACTAGTCGTCACTGTACAATGGATTTGTTTGTGCTCAGATTTCAGAATACGATTCTGACGAGGCCGGCGGAAGTTTAGCCCAGAGGCAGAGAATCATATTTCTGGAAAATAATCTGGAACAGCTCGGCCGTGTCCACAAACAGGTCGGCAATCCACAGATTGATTTGAACTGCTGTTCCACAGTGTTGGGTTGAAGTTGTCATGATTTTGAAGATCAGTCAATTACCTTATTACGTTAAGTGTTCTCCTGACCTTCCACCTTTGTGCAGCTGGTGCAGGACAACGCAGACCTGCGCTGTGAGCTGCCAAAGCAGGAGAAACGCCTGCGAGCGACGGCAGAGCGAGTCAAATCTCTGGAATCCCTGCTGAGAAACGCCAAGGAGACTGCGGCCAAAGACCGAAAGCGGTACCAACAGGAAGTGGACCGCATCAAAGAGCTCTGGTCCAAGAACGTCCCCAGAAGGGGATACTCCGCCCAGATAGGTGAGGTTTTACCGGGTTTACGGGATGATCTGCTGCCACCGCTGGTTAAAAACCTCAAAACACTGCCATCGACTATTCTCTTTGTATTCATTTTCCAGCTAAGCCAATCAGGGCGGGGCATCAGAATCTGTCCTCGGCTTCATCCATCAGGCCAACAATCAGAGGCGGCGGGTCTTTGTCAAGTCCACGCCACCACGCCTCCCGCCCGGAAGCACAACAGTACCAACGACCACCGTCAGCAAAAGTGCCACAGCTGCGTTAAATGTAAAGAGGCGGGGCAACAGTGATGACATCAGCATCACCACCTGGGCCAGAAAGTAAAGACAAACAACACAAGAGGAAGAAGAAGAACTGTAGTAAGACCATTGTGTGTGCCGTCAATCAGACCGTCAATCAGACCGTCAACCAGACCAGGCAGAGCTGACAAACAGCTCTACAGGACTGCCGGAGAACCACAACAACAGTCACCCATCGTGGCCACACTGACAGGTTAGCTGAAGCTCAACAACCAAAACAAAACAACAGCACAACTAAGAAAACTGTGTCAACAGTCACAACCACGATAACAGCAACAACAACAACAACAACAACAACATCTCAGCCGCCCGTGAAAGAGTTTTAATGTCAGTCGTTTACATTGATGTGAAAACAATCGGTGTAGTTGTTTTTGTTGTATTTCGGTGTCAGTTTGACTGTAATGTGAATCTACTGTATCTGTTCCTATTGTCATGTTGCTGTAGTTCCAGATTTTTCAGACAGGGGGCAGCATTCTTAACTTGGTGGGGTGGTGGGGGCCTCACAGACCAAACAGATTGCTCCCTGTTCTTCTTCTTTGGTTCATAAAGCCCCGCCCCCTTTCCTAAAGCAAACAGATTGCTCCCTGTTCTTCTTCTTTCATAAAGCCCCGCCTCCTTTTCTAAAGCACACAAACCTTTCCAGTTTAGGGAATCTATATTTATTACATTTTACTTTTGTTTCTTCACTTTGTATTTTTTTTATATTATTCTGGTTAACGATTAAAAAATATCCTGTATTTGTATTTATTTGAGTCATTTTGGTGAAGAACTGAAACTCAGTCAGATTGTCTTTATTGATACAAACCGAACTCAAAAACTCTTCGTTTGAGTTCAGTTTTCAGCCAATCACGTGACAGCTCAGCTGGTCTCTGATCACCTGATCGTCCAACGGCTTTTCTGACATTTCTGACATTACCAGGAACTGTGCTGATGTAACAGTGATGGTGTAACAGTGATGATGTCAAAGTGATGATGTCACAGTGATAATGTCACAGTGCTGATGTAATGCCGACACAGTGATACTGAAATAAGTTATTAAACTCTGAAATATGAAGAAAAAAAAATTGCTTGAACCGAGCTTTGAATTTAATGTATCTTTTAAAAAATGTTTAGAAAGTTTTTGGGCAAAACTAAAAAAAAAAACTAAATGTAAAAAAAAAAAAAAAATCCTTTTGTTGATAAAAAAGTTTAGAACGTTTTTGGGCAAAACTAAAAGTAAAAAAAAAAAAACATATTTGGATTTTTTGCTTCCTCTTTATTTTTATCACATTTTTTGAGTTCCTGTTACTTCCTGTCCAGACTGAAGATCCCAGGACTCTGGATCAGGACCAGCTCTACAATCTGGCTCTGGTAGACCATGTTCACCGCCATGTTTCCTGCTTCTAGCCCCGCCCACATCAGCGTTGGGCCAAACACAATCCCAAGGCTCTGAGTGGACATTAGGTTCTGTCTGGAAAACTTAAGAACTCTGAAGAAGAAGAACCGGGGTCAGAACCGTGACTACAGGCCAGGAGGAGGCGTGCGTGTGTGTGTGTGTGTGTGTGTGTGTTTTTTCACCTGTTCAGGTGCAGAAACAGCAGCTTCACAGTTTCGTAGTTGACTCTCGGCAGATCATCAATCAGTTTCTTCAACCTTTGAACTTTTTCCTTGGCATCTTTGATATCTGTTTGAATGAACACAAGTGGTTACACGCCGCTTCTGTGTGGTCCAGTAGCCCCACCCCTTGAAACAATGACCCCGCCCCCCTCTCGTTGAACTCACTGAGGACGTCAACGACGGACTGAAAGAAGTGGAGGGGAAACAGCGGCTCAGGAAGTTCACGGAAAAACATCTTGAGTGCTCCCGTGACGACGTGAATTTCAGACCACTGCGGCTGGTCCAAATCCAGCTTTTCCTCTAGAGGGCGGTAAGGAGTCACACTCATTTGTTCTGCTTTTTCAGAAATTTCATCTTGTTTTTACTTTTTAAAGTCTACAAACCTTGATCCACAATGAACCGAAGTTTCTGGATTGTTGCCAAGTTTCCGCTGACCCTGTAAATTCCATGGACTTCCAGACCTGGAATCAAGGTCTTAGGAATCAAGGTCTGCATTGATGCTACAGTAAATATCTATACATATATACATTTTTTTTAGTAATTCCATCATTTGGATCAGTCATAAATACAACAGGTGAAAAACAATGACATCTAGTGTCTGATCCAGAAACGTACAAAACAAAAAGGGAAAAAAAGTAGCTTTTTTTGGTCATATTTTTGAATGACCGTTTACCTTGATTGATCCTGACACCGCCACCTGGTGGTTAATCTGATAAAACATTCGACTTGGCTGACAGCTCCCATAAACATACACATGTAAATATATGTATATACTGTACATATAAACTCTGTATAACTTCTAAACTGATGCTGCAGCTGAAGCTTCTTTGTTTCTGTCTAATCTTTGTTTCAGTTTCTCCGACGACGGTGAACTGACCTCGTTTGTCGATCGCGTTCACACACTGCTGGACAAACGATGGGACGCACGTTCCTTCGCGTTGACACAGGGTGAAGAGGTCACAGCCATACACTCGATCTACGCACAAACACAACACCCATTTGTCGGTAGGACTTGAATGTTAGCAGTGACCGCTAGGTCCAGGTGGGTTCTGGGGGTTGGTCTGGACAAACCTTTGATCAGGCCCTTCTCCTGGAGCGTCTTCATGGACGGACGTCTGCTGAGGAACTTCTTCAGTTTGTTTTTTACTCCGGTTTTGTCCAGATCAGATGAAGTGTGTTTCAACTTTGAGCCTCTGAAAACTGTGAAGAACACGGTTTCTGGTTCTGCAGGTCTGCAGTGGACCTACAGGTCCATATGTGCTGTACTGATGGTGTCACTCACTGATGGAGCGTCGGTGGACTGGAGTGGTCTTTTTTGTGTTGGCAGTGGTTCCTTGTCCGGTGGGAGGTCGGTGTCTGTGAAGGTTCTCAGAACTGTTTGATCTTCGCAGATGCAAATTTGACCTCGTCTGAAAAAGTGTTTTATTTAATGATTTGGTTTGGACAGATGAAGACCAGAGACCAAACGTCTCCACAGGTGAGTACAGTGGACAGACTGGTGTGATCAGGACTTCGGAGGTTCTCACCGATGATTGGACGGCATCCTCTATGGCATGAAACCACTTGCTGGCTGTGGGCCGCGTGTCCAGCTGCAAAAGAAACTCACTTCCTGTCCTTGTGGTCACCTGTGAGAAAAATAAAAAATCATCATTGTCTTAAGTGATGGAGACGTCAAGACCCCTGTCCTTGGCCCAGTTTGAGTTTTTGACCTGAAAGACGTTTTCTCGACTGGACTTGTCCTTCACCCACTGCACCACCGCTCCACTCAGCTGGACCACATCGCTCTGCTCCTTTTTCACAGCCACAATAAAAACATAATGAGAATCATCCAATCAAATAACAACGACAAAAAAAAAAATCAACAGGAAGTCAGAAGAAGTCCAACCAGAGATGGCTCTGTGTAAAAGTAGAGCTGGTCTGAGTCCAGAACCAGACACATCCCAGTCCAGACCTTCTTCTGTTTTTGTCCATGGTGCTTAATTTTGGCCACATTTAGGACTTCACCTCTGACCTGTAAACACACACACACACTCTGTTGTCCATGGTCTTCTAAAGACCTCTGGTGGTTGTCATAGCGCCCACTCTACCTTTGCTGCCGCTGCAGAAGCTCCACCCACAGAAAGGTTCTGCTGAGACACAAAACCAAACAGGAAGTGACAATATTGAGGTTCAACAGGCGGCCCACAGTGTTGTTCTGAGTTCACTCCACAGAAAAACCCAACCCTCATACAGCACAGAGCCCACAGACCCGGGCCCTCGGGCAATGCTAAGATCACATGACCCCCCCCGCCTCACCTCCCCTCCCCACCTTGTCCCTGGTGGTCGCAACATTTCTGCCACTGGACCAGGGTGCGTTCTCCGCCTCACTACAACGACCCTCTTTCCAGATGTTCAGCCATAGACCAGAACACTCCAGCAGTGGGTTAGAGCTGAAGAAGACTCTTGGATGAAGAGGTGAAACGTCTTCTAGAGACCGAGACAGTCCAGTTGTCCTCTAGTGAAAGAACTCCAGATAAAAGTGAGGACCTGGACCTGTGAAGACGCTTGTGTTGAATTACCAGTTTGTGAGTAAAATCCGACTCCTGCAGGACCATGGACCTGGACTGAGTCAGACGTTCTCCGCAGCTCTGTGAAGTCTTTGTCCTCAGCTGGACTGAAGTGACCGGTGGATCCTGACCGAGTTTGTTCTGCATGTTGGAGATCCTGAAAAGTAAAAACAAGTTCCAGCGATCTTTCTTCTTATTTGACTCGTTCCTCTTTGACTTCCTGTTTCAGACCTGATTAGCCAACGCACGTTCAGTTTTAAAGAAACAAATCTGACAGTTTAAAACCAGAAACTGTCTCTTTTGTTAATCTCAGTCGGTCGTCTGACGTGTGGATTAACTAATCTAGCTAACTCACATCTGCTGCGCCACAAGCCAAGTGTGGTTTTTAGTTTGGTCAGAAATTCTGCAAAACATATAACTCACTCCAAAATTTAAGAAGAAACAAAGACGTAAATTGAAGAGGAAAAGCCCGAAGAGACTTGAATCCATCCGTGGATTGGATTATTTAATGTGATCCTACCTCTTACTGGCCATTTGTCTCCTCACAGCAGTTCAGTTAGTGGCTTATAGAAAGAGGAAGTAGTTTTCATCAACATACGCTGCGTCTGACTTTCATTTCCTGACAGAAACCACCAGCATCTGCCAGAATGTGAGATTAGGATTAACCCCAGATTAACATCCACTGACTCAGTTCAATGCAAACAATTTACACACACGTGCCTTCTAAGGTTACAGTTTACTTCTTTTATTTTGGAATCAAAGATCAGATTTCCTGTCTTTGGCATCCATTTCTTCCTTGATCTCCATGTTTCAAAAATGATTTGAATAAAAAAAAAAGCGTGACTAAACATATAAATGTAACCTGATGTAATGTCATAAACGGTGGAAAGTTGTTAAACAGGATATAAATGTTTTTTTCATATCTGTTGAAATAAAGAGTGAAGTTAAAACAGTTTGACTCGGTTTAACAGGGTGAGCTTCGCGTACAACAACGCAGTGACGTGCGATCATGATTAAAAAAAAAGGAAACAAACATAAAATAAATACTAATATTTTCCACTGATCTGTGTTAAAGGTGCATTTTCACTATGACTCTACACATCTTTGACATTTTATTAAGTAAAAAACGTCAAATTCGAGTATTTCACATTCAAATACAGGATAGAAATCCCGGGTGAGACAGCTCCACATCTGACTGCGCGATCAATACAATCTGGGTCACATGACGCGGGCCGTTGGGACATCCTTTGATTAAAGAATTGAAAAATAACTGAATTTTTTAACTGAAGGTCAAAATTCAATTTGTGCTGCACTCATCTCTATACTTTGTTTACAATAAATATGAATTTCTTAGACACAAGAAGGCTGCTCTGTCCATTTGTATAAAAAAAAAAGAAATTCTTTCTAGGACAAATATGCTCCTGTGTTGGTGTTGGTGTCAGTGTCATTAAAAGAGGGGTGCTGAGGGATATGAAGCGTTACCAGGTGATGCTATTGGATGAACAGTGAAATAAGATGCTCTTTTCGGTTCCTACAATTGTAAATCTAAGAGGAGTCAGTGTGTCACCAGCCACGAACCTCACCACACGTCACTGCAACAATGTGTGTGAATGGAAGTCATAGACGGCAGGTCTTTCAATGTGTGCATGGCACCTCCTACAGGCCAGGAAAAGGAAGTTTCATGCTGCTAGAGTCAGAACCTCACTTTGACTCTGTTCATCAATGAGACTTTTTTTTTCTTGTTCTTTTCAACAAATGTTCAACAACCTCTTTCCACCTGCCTCAATGGCCTTCAGCTGTTAATGCTCGAGTCCATACATCGTGTGATGTGTCTTTACGTGGTCCACTGTCAAAGGTCATAGCCAGGGGCTGTGCCTGATGTTTAATGGAGGGCTGACTGGAGCTCCCTCCTGCAGAGTAAACCCCCGAGTCTTCGCTGCTGCTGCTCCCGCTGCCATGACGACTGTGTCTGCTGCCACCACAAAAACACAAGGTGAAGATTTGAAGAGTCAGAAAAACAAAAACGTTTCTGATGTGAAAACACACCTGTTGTTCAGCTCCAGGCCCATCAGGGTTCCACAAGGATGGGTCTGGTTTACCAGGACCTCAGGCAGAGCACAGATGGTCACTTTATCACAGAGCAGCTCCAACTCAGAGTGTGGGGTCAAGAGACGAGGAGGGTGAGATCGAGGGGAGTGACGAAGAAACTAAAAAGTGAGAGAAGGCATCGTGTTGGTTAAATACAAGTCCAGCCGGGCTAAGGTCAGAGGAGACGAGACGTGACATGATGAGAAGTGGCGTCCCTCTCCAGGGACTGACCTCAGAACAATGTGTCAAGTGTCAAACTGACCCAGAGACGATGACGTCAAAAGACTGTACCTGTTCAAGATGTGTGGGCAACTGGCTGGAGGGAAACCAGATGCTCTTCAGAGTCACACAGGAGTAGAAGAAGCACCAGATGAGGAGGAGCACCAGCAGGAGGAAGACAAGCAGGGCGGACAGGAAGTAGAGGACTATCTGCCACCAGGACAAGTGACCTGCAAGACAGGGAGGGAGGGAGAAATGTTGTGTTAGACCCGCTAGCTGTTTTTAGCTAACAGGGGCTAACATTGCTAACTCTGTGTCCACTGAAGACCCAGTGCAGACACTCCACCCCCCATCTCACCTTCTGTCTCTAGACAGTGGGGGTGACTGAAGATGCTGCTCTTCCTGTGCTCGCCATCTTCACGTGACTGAACACTCACACAGTAGCGTGTCCATGCTTTCAGGCCTGGCAGAGTCACAAAGGTGGCAGTGGTATTCAGATGTTTTTCTGAGGCCTGGAAAACAAAGACAGTCAGACAGTCGTACAGTCGTACAGTCGTTCATCTTCTGATGTTTAGAGGATGAACTGATCAGGTGTCCTGGTACGGCGTGTACTAGTGGTGTACTAGCTGCACGTCAGCGGTTTCTTCACCTTTCCGTCTTGGGACTGTTCCCAGTATTTGATGCGGTAGTACAACTTGGATAGGTGTTCCTTCATGACGGTGTCCTGGCTGGAGCGCGGTTCAGAGATTGTGACGTCGAGCAGATTCCCAGCAGGTCTTAGTTCAACTTTGACTGGAGGACCCAGATCAGCTGTAGAACCAGAGAATGGACAAGGTCAGTTATTGAGGACATTTGCTCTAACTGAGCTACAGCCGACCCCCCCGACTACCCTCGCCCCAGTGTCCTCACTCACCGTCCCTCTCAGGGCAGAATTCCACTTGAACCCACTCAGAATGATGGCCGTTCCAGTCGGTGCGCACATGGAACACGTACATTCCCAGGTAGTGCAGGTCCAGTCCTGTCAGGTCACAAGACCTGCCTGAGACCCGCTCACACACACTCACCCATTCTGGATCCCTTTTCTTGTCCGTTAATTCGTAGGACCTGAGCCAACACATGTCAGAGAGTGAGGAGTTAAAATAAAATTTAAAAAAAAGACAACAACCAGGTGACGCTGAGAGTTTACACATGGTTCACACCAGGTGAACCTGAGCACTACAGACGAGACAAGGCAACACTTACTTAAAAAATCTGACACATCTGAAACATAACGTACAACCACAAGTCAATTAATTACAAAGTCTCAATTCATTTTTTAACTTTTATTTATTCATTTGTCTGGTTGTGGGTTCAATTCCAATGGGTTTAATGGGTTAAAAGCTCTGGACCATTTTTTGACAATCAGGCTTCTATATATGCCTCTCTAAATATATATAGTGAGACTTTAGGGGCAGTAGTGGCTTAGTGGTTAAGGAAGCAGACTTGGGTGCGGAGGGTTTCAGGTTCAAGTCCACCAACTGCCAGGTTACCACTGAGGTGCTTTGAGCATGGCACCGTCCCCATACACAGAATTCCACTTGAACTCACGGGGGTCACATTTCACTGTGTGATTTGTCACCATGACAAATCACTTTTACTTTCAATTTTGTGGAGGCTTCAATCTCAGGTCAGTTATTCCTGCATCTATACACTCAGGCAGGTACACACACACACACACACACACAGGAGTAAGTCTTACCCCACAAATTGCACAGTGAAGGTGACGTCATACGTCTTTCCTGGACTCTGATTCCAGTCCCAGATCAATGTGTAGTTGGTGTTCAGAGAGATGACAGTCACATTCTGTGGCGGCGTCAGCTCTACTCCAACTGGGACTGTAGCAGTGACAGCGACGCCATAAACCCCTGTTCAAGATTTTAAATGTATTTATTTAGACATTTTTATATTTATATCAGATCAAACTTATAACTGAGTTCTTTGTGTTCCCATATATGGAACAAACGTTGTCTGTTTCCCTGTTGAACAGTTTGATTTTCACCACCTGTTTTTCCATTTCCATCCCGTGTTCACTCACTTGTCCTCAGCCCTACTATAACCTGGGCTGGAACAGTAGGAATGACGACTTGCCGACAAATGTTAGCGATAACAACGACGTTGTGTACATATACAGAAAACAATGCCACACTGTGTACAAGCCGCACATCACAGCACGTCAACTGCCAACATATAACACGAGAAAAAAAGTGTGGAAAATTGTTTTGCTTTTTCAGAAGAACATTTTAAGTTCAGGGAACAGAGCGAATTACTGTTTATTTGTTCCGCACACAGCGGCACGAGTTTAAATAATTGCCGGAAATCACTGCTTGATGTCCAACTTCCGCCTGTCTGCGTCAAACATCAACTCTTAACGACCAAAGACAACCACAGAAAGGCGCCTATGAAATAAAACGTATTATTATTGATATAAATTCAACGGATCAAACTGCTTACGGTCAATGTCTGTAACGTACGAATTACCGACGCAAGTCTTTGCAGCTGCACCGACTCCTCTAATATGGCGGCGACGCTGACGCATTTTAGCAATCGATCGCTCTCCGTAGTTAGATATCGAAAAAGTTCGAATAACTGTAAATGTTAACACTAAAAATCTAACTACTCAGATCAATAACATGTCTGACAGTGATGGGGACTTGGGACGCTAACCACGTACGAATAATTAGCCAGAATTCCCATTCCGACTGCGATTTCACTCACTTCCGGATCACTCGGCTATAAATGGGTCAATAACAATAACGTACTTTGGGGACAGAAATGACACTATATGTCTACAGCGGTTCGTTTGCTCAATGGTAGACAAAAGAACAGTTTATAAGCTCTGGTTTAAAATGAAATAAGTCGACTACTATGAGCCGAACACGGAACCAGTGGGAAACAAAACACCTACGTTAGCATAGCATTCAACAACAACTTACCGTCGCTGCTGTTTAGAATCCAGAATAAAGGGCCGAGTAACAAGACTACGGACATGTTAGTGACATGTCACCTGTTCAGGCACAGCTTACATCGGACTAAATCTGTTCTACAACCTACTTCCTCTTTCCGTTCCCAGGTGTAAACTGCTCGGTGTAAACTGCTCAGCGTTCACTCTCAGCTCTAACTCCCCTGCATCGGCCTCGCTCAGCGGTTAAGGCTCGTTAGCGCCCTCTATGGTTGGACGTTTTATTTATTTATTTAATATTAGTAGATTATCGACCAATCACGAACAGCTGATGACCGTCGACGTCAAAGTCTTTGTTGAGCTTCTTTAAATCGACGCAAACGGCCAGGGAGGAGAAAGAATAACTTCCTGCTTTACAATAATAATTAATAACATTTGCAACGCTTTTTAAAGTACATCTTTTTATCTTTTATATTTCTGGTGGTTTCTGGTGATGATTAGCTGTGTTGTTTTATATATAAAATGTTTATAGGGACGAAAACAGACCAAAAAAATCGAACATTATATATAATATTATATGAATATTTAACATTTGCATATGCATGTTAGTACATTATTTTCACCAGAGGGCGCCATTGTTCCGTTAAAACAAAATCCAGATTTGGTGAGGTGAAAATGTATGGGGGCCGATCAGTCAGGCTGACATTCTTGGAATCATTATTAAATTAAATGTTAAATGAGTAAATGTTGCTAATTACCTTATCAGGATGGATAAAGGTTAAAATAGTAATACTTTAATTGAAAATGAACTATTTTATGAAATCTGATTCTGATGTATTTATTGATTTTGTTTTAACAAATCACATCAAAGTGCATTTTGACAAAGGATTGAATGACTGAAATTTAACAAAATTTGATTTTGATAACGTGGCGCTTTGGCCCAGATACAGTGCGATTTGAGTAGCGGTCATGGGGCAATATAGTAAAATATACACAATACAACAGACAAAAAATATAAACAATATAATTGACAGACAATAGACAGACTACATTTATGCATATATTGTGACATATCCCATCATGTAGGTCAAGTACAAACTAAAATGATGAATCCTGATTTGTGTCTAAGGAACAAACACTCCCACGTGGGACGGATGAAGTTGCCAACTGAAGCGAGCAGTGATTGGATCCTGGTGTCACACGGCTGTATGTTGGTGACATAATAAAGTAGTCTCCAACACCTCTGCTGACCGTGGGCTGAATCAACAGTGAGACAGTGTCCAGATATATTTGACAGACATTTCAACCACAGTCCAGTCTGTTCAGTCACCATGTAAGACTGTGAAGATGAAAAATAAATGTTGAAATGTTAGGATTTAAAATGTTTTGATGGATCTGGAAGTACACGTCCCAGATACCCAGAACTCTCCTGTCCCTCCTCCTCCTCTTCTTCCTCCTCTTCCTCTTCCTCCTCTCTTACCTCCTCAGTGTCAGAGAAGAAAACTGTTTTCTGACCAACATCCCACATTTCTGGCTCTTGAGATGAAATGGAGTTTGTAGAACATCCAGACATCGCCCGGTGGTTGGTCAGCTGTAGATGAAGGTCCTCCTGCTCCTCCTCCTCGTGGTATTGATGATGGCCGCAGGTCAGGGTCAGCAGGTCTACGTTACTACTGTGTGTGTCCATGAAGTCCAGGCCCGGGTGTGTTGTCACAGTGGGCTGGACTTCAGCGGTGGGCTGTGTCTGCTCTGACTGTGGGCTCTGGTTGGAGGAGAAGGTGGACTGTGGTCCTGCCACAGACCAGGACAACAGACCCTCTTTGTAACTCCTGCTCCCGCTCAGACTTTCTGCCTCACTCTCACTCTCGCTGTCGCTGTCATCTGATGAGCACTTTCTGACTTGGTCACTGGGAGAAGGCGACAATGGTTTGAGGATAACCAGGGGCACCAGGGACGAGCTCCTGGGAGAGAGGACCAGAAACTCCACGTGACAGATGGACGACTGAGGAGCAGAGAAAATGTGAAACTCTGGGTGAAAATAAAGGAAAAAAAAAAAAAAGGCACAACATTTCCTGTGTATCACCTCCCGTACGACTGTTGTTGATCTATAACACCACAGGGGGCGCCAGCTGATCAACCGAAAACACAACCAAAAACAATGCTTTTACTCACCAACACCACAGGGGGCATCCTCCTCAGGCAGATGTAACCAGTTTTGACCAGAACCATCAAAAGAACGAGGAGGAAAACCAAGAGGAAGGACACTGGTAACAACCACAGGTCTGCAGAGAGGAAACAGAAACGCTGACTGTGGCTGACACTCAGGTCAGAGGTCAGAGGTCCGCCAGTGACAAATCTCTGTGTTGACTTACGTTTAGTGTGAATGTCCGGGGTGATGACACACACGGGGCGGCTGTAGTCAGACTCCTGATTAACCAGGATGTCATAGATGCAGACGGAGACGCAGTACTGTCGGCCGGGGGCCAGACCTTTCAGGACCTGGGGGGCCAGAGAGTGGACGTCCCTGACCTGGACACACAGAGACAACACAGCTGCACGGTCATCGTCCACTGGACCAAAATAAAACAAAGATTTAGGCAGCGGTGGTCTTGAGGGAACACTGGGGGGGAGGGGATTGTCTGTGGTTATCAGCATCGACCTGTAGGTGGTGCTAAGTAAAGACGTACAAGACATGGACATGATTAAACACTGAATGAAAGCTAAGCTAAGCTACGCTAACCCACGTAGCTTAGCAAAGGCTACGCAAGGTGTGAACGTCTGTGTGACACAGACGTGACACTGACACAAAGAGTTGTTGTTGTTGTACCGTGGCTGTGTGCACTCTGCTGTTTTCAATTTTCAGCTTGTAGTGAAGCCGATCATAGTGCTGCCTCTGGTCTTCAACAGGAGGGTGGAGGTCCACACACAGGTCCGCATCGCAGGTGGTGACGGTCAACTTAGGTAGGTCCAAATTATCTGAATGAACACAAATGGAACGTTAGTGGAACGTACACACACACACACTTTAGGCCACCCAGTGACTGAACCTGAACACCTACTGATGGGGAACGGGGTCAAGTCAGAGGTCGCTGGCTTGGAGGTCTGTCCTGCCAGCTTGGCTTCAACCTGGACAAAGTGGCGTTCTCTGTGGCTTTGAATGGCTTCTGTGAGGGAACAAACCAGGGGGCGCTGGACGTGTTCACAACCAGCAACAGGGGACCAGGAAGCTCCTCTATGAAAGAGAAAGAGAGAGTTATTCTTTAAGATCCTGTCAATGTAAAAACTTCAGACAGAAAGTAAACAAACACCTCCACCCCTCACCCACCCACCTCTCTGTCATAATGCTGACACTGTAGTACACTCCGGCTGGTGTTCCTGGTCCAGGCTGCCAACTCAACACATGACTGAAGCTGCTGGACTTCAAGGACAGGCCAGCAGGTGGAGGCAGTTCACCTACAGCTGAAACACAGGTGGAGTCAACACAACACAGTTGAGTTGCTAGTTGAATTCCAGTTGAGTGTTAATAGTATCAAGAGCCTGGACTCACCCGTTTGAGTGAAGTGCAGCAGCCATGGCAGCATCCACATGACGGTGTTCATCGCTCATGGAGGTGGGTCCTTCAGGCAGAGAGAGCCCACCTCCCAGAACGTCTCTCCATCTCAGCTCTGTCTCATCTTTTTTCAGATGATTCTACTGGACAATGTGCTGAACAGACAAAACACAAAACAACCATTCGTTTCAGGGTGGTCTCTCACGTGACCTTTGACACAGTGTGATGTCATAAATGTGTAACTATATATATATATATAAAATAAGAAATATTAATGAAGAGGAAATTGTTTTGTTTTTCACAGCAGCCGACCACCCCCCTCCCCCCTCCGATGTAGCGGATGGACCAGGTGGGGGCTGTGACGTCACCTTATGACACACCTCAGATGCTTTCTGTTTGAAACTTCACAATGTTTTTTAAACAATGGTGCGGATTAAAATGTTTCCCCCCCCCAACATTTCAGTTACCAGTTATCTGCTATTCATCCTCCACATGTTTGCAAAAACCTAAAGCCTTTTTTCTTTTTTACAAAACATACATTTATGAATGTAAATCTTTGAAATAAAATGCCATCTCACCTCAGAACCTCCGTCCTAATGCAGCCAAATGGACGTTTGACAAACCTTTTACGAAGACACCTATTTAGGTTGGTCTCCCCTCAAATGTTTACACCGCGTGCACGAACAACAGAACCATGTAAACCCACCAGCTAACGGGCTAACTAACAATCGAACAAACGAATGGAAAAAAAAAAGATTTTGCCGCGTCCTAAGACAGAACACCCCGCAGACATTGCGACCTACTGTTCAAAGATACGTGTAGCTGTCACGAACACCCGTTTTATTAAAAACAATAAAAAAATAAAAAAATGTTTTCTGTCTTAAGACAAAGTTCAGCTACAGCAAAGGAGAAACCAAAAAACGGAACTAAGCGCAAGTCACGCGGTTCCTTCGCCCGTGTAAGATTCATGAACTTCTGATAGTGTCGTAAAACACGCTACCTGTGTGTTACAGTCACCAGAACGGCTACGTCACTGCACCGAGACAAATAACAACGCGATATTCGTTTCAATATGTGGGAAATAAATAAAAAACAATGAAATCATTTGATGAAATCATTTGTAAAGAAATGAAATAACCACATATGTCAAACGTTTTACATTTCCAATTTTTTCCAAAGTTTTTGAATGTCACACCGGAGTGAGGCTCTTTATTAAAAATCACGTGACCGAAGTGGAAATCATGGTCTCTGGTTATTACATTTACATATTTATTTTTTTTTATATTTACATATGTATTTATTTATTTACATATTAGTTTATTTTGTGCATTTAGAAGACTTACGGGAGAGGGATTCATGTAGGAAAAGGAGACAAGTGGTTAGGAAACAGCAGAAGAGGAAACAAAAGCGCAGAAGGAGTTTAGAGGAGGGTAGGGTTATGGAAGGACAGGAAAGTGTGCTAGGAAAGGAGGTGCTCTCTGAGGAGCTGAGTCTTAGCCTACCCTGGTCTGGTAGTGTTCTTGGTAGGTCATTCCACCAGCCTGGATGTTGGGATAAACAAACGTTCCCTAGACGAGCGGAGAGATCGCGAACCAACTTTAGCCTTTTATCAGAGTACTTCAGTAGGTAGGAGCAGACCCACCCCTAAATAAATAATATATATATATTTTTTCAGTTCAGACACACGGGTACTTCAGTAGGTAGGAGCAGACCCACTCCTAAATAAATAATATATTTTTTTTTTTCAGTTCAGACACACGAGTGTTTAATTTAAAATAATTAATTTAAATGTTGTCTTGTTGAGATTCATCCCCCACTTGAAGCCAGATACTCCTTTTATCCATGTTTACATTCAAACAACTACAGTGATGCCAATCTCTATTTTTTTCCCAATCGATTAGGGAAAATTTTGAAAAGTAAGTAGTAAATGGGAACTGCGCACCGAAAACAAAAACAAACTAACAAAAAAAAAATCATAATACAATCGTTTCCGAAAAGTTATACGGTAATATTTTACAACTTTGCACCAAAAAAAGAAGGTGGTGTTTCACCATTAGCCTTTCACGTGCTGCTTCATAAAATTCATAGATATTTGTTTTAAAAAAAAGAGAAACAAATGTTTTAATGATTCCTATTTTTTGTGAAAACAACTCTTTTTTGTGGCTCTGATCTGGGTCTGATCTGCAGTAAAGTTTGGAAATTGAACTTTTTTTGGACATTTGTCTGTGTCTGTTACAGTCAGATATGCTGCAGAACTGACCACACCCATTCTAGTTCCTGCTAACGGTCCCTTGTACTGAATAGTTTAACAGGTATGGACTAGATCAGTGGTTGTCAAACTGTGGTACCCGTCCCACCGGTGGTACGCGAGCGTTCTCTCTAGAAGTACATGGGGAAAATTCATATTTTCACATTTACATTTTCCAATTGAATAAATCTGAAACATACCATGCACAATCAATACAATATTAAACATTAACATATAACAAAAAAAAAATATATATAAACATTTATAAACTTCTCTCCTGTGGTGGAAGCTAACAGGGAAGGCCTACGCTGCTATAATCTAATGTTGGTGGCATCATGGTGGTAGACACACTTCCTGTCCTGAGGGTGGAGCTGTTAAGTGAAAACGCAGCCTTTGACCGCAAACCCTGTGCTGCAACTTCCTGTTTCTGGCATGTTTACTGTGTACCCAAAGAGGAAGTGTTCATTTATAACACTCAGAGGAAGCACACCCTATCGCATTTACGAAATGGGCCTTTTTACAGGCCAATTGCACCATGGGTAAACTCCGAATCCTTTCACCTGCAGGTCAGAACACTCAGAGCGACCCATACCGCTGGACTCATCCGTCCCAGCCGAAGTGTGGCGCGCTGGTTGAGATCAGACAGGTATCAGCAACTTGAGCACAACCAGAATCAGCCCACATCGGGCTTGGACAGATCTGGGCCACATAAACCACATGTAGTACGCCATCATGTAGGCAGTGGCACCAGATCTGGCCCAAACCTGTCTGTGACGTGAGAACCTTTAGTCTCCGTCGGCTTTATCAGCAGGGTCATCGGTCAGTGGACTAAAAAAAAAAAACTCTAACTCTCACCTTGGGCTTCTGGGTAATTCCAGCTAAAATGAGGAAACAGACGCAACGTCTCAGCCGTCTCCATGACCTTTTATGGTGTCAGTGCTGCCTTGCGCGCAAGTGTATGTGTGTGCGCTTGTGGGAGACAGGAAACCAGTGGTGTTTGTAGGTTGATGTGTGACATGTTGACAGCTGTACATCACAGGTTCAACAGACGCCTGCCGAGGGTAAGCTTTTTAATCTTTGAAATGTTTTTGTTTTAAGGTGAATTGAGGGCAGATGTTCTGTGACGCGTCCACAGTGGGTTCAACGAAGCCGTGGGCATTTGTGTAGGTCAGAAATGGTTGAGGCTGACGTTCTGGAATGATCTTAAATCAGACCAAAGTGGAGGATGGTGGTCCAACCTGTGGCAGCTCCTCAGGGTGAGGACACAGCCCAGGGAGAGTGGACAAGGAAAGGGTTAACTACCAGACAGACAAACCAGCGAGCACAGGAGACAGACAGAGACCATAAATGACCATGGGCATATGGAGATAAAACTAGTACTGGAGGAAATGTTTTATTAACTCGTAGGTCAAGTTAGCAATACAATCAAAGTACTGTGTACTTGTGTTTCTGCAATACAATCAAAGTACTGTGTACTTGTATTTATATTTCTTTTACTCCTATCTGTGGCTGAATTATTTTCTTTGTACCAGTTTGACCCGTTTGATTGTACCAGCGTACGATTGGACTATCGTACGATTGTGACCTTGAGTTTTTCACCCTTGAAACAACGATCATCAACGATAAAATAATCAATATGATGATGATGATGATGATGATGATGATGTCACTCCTACATCTGTCCTCAGGAGATGAATCGCCGCTGGGTGTTTCCTCTGTTCCTGCTACTGGCTGGAACTGGTGAGACCTGGACCTACACCACACTGACTCACCAAGGGGGCAGGGGGAGAAGCAGCTTCATTGGTCATCGTACACACCAATGGTTTCACCAACACGGTGAAACCATTTCAACCATTAAAATCATTTAAACCATTTAAAGCTGTTACTTCTTCTTGTAGGTTTGTGCCAAGAGGAAGTTTGTTCAAAGTCTGTCATCAATTCCTGCAACGACTGCATCCAATCTGGGCCTTACTGTGTGTGGTGTGCACAGCTGGTGAGGAGTACACACAGGACTGTCTTCAGTACTCTCTCTTCAGTACTCTCTCTTCAGTACTCTCTCTTCAATACTCTCTCTTCAGTACTCTCTCTTCAATACTCTCTCTTCAGTACTCTGTTTTCAGTACTCTGTCTTCAGTACTCTCTCTTCAATACTCTCTCTTCAGTACTCTCTCTTCAGTACTCTCTCTTCAATACTCTCTCTTCAGTACTCTCTCTTCAATACTCTCTCTTCAGTACTCTCTCCTGAACGTCACGTTCATCTGTGATCACTGAGACTCAGCAGCAGTCAAACATTTTCTCCTCTTCTTCCTCTTTCTTCATCACTGGATCTCTGAGCTTGGTGTGTGTGTGTGTGTGTACGTGTGTGTGTGTGTGAACAGAATTTCACCAAAGCTGGGGAGCAGGAAGCTGCCCGCTGTGACACCGCAGCTCAGCTCAAATCCAGAGGCTGCAGAGGGGAGAACATCATCTCCCCCAGGAACTGGGTTCACATCAACCAGGAGGACCCACTGTCCACGTCCTTCAAACAGCAGGAGCCGGTCCAGCTCAGCCCACAGAAGATCAGTCTGGAGCTGCGGCCGGGTCAGTGGCTGTCCGTCAGGGTGGGCCGCTGGACCGGCAGTCTCCTCTGATCGTGTCTTCCGTTCTGTGTCCAGGTCTGCCCAGCACCTTCACGGTCAGCTTCAGGAGGGTCCAGGGTTACCCTGTGGACCTGTACTACCTGATGGACCTGTCCTACTCCATGAAGGACGACCTGGAGAACGTGAAAAGACTGGGACAGAGTCTGTTTGCAGCCCTGAAGAACATCACTGCACACGCTCAGATAGGTAACCAACCAGAATCAGAACCACAACCAGAACCAGGGCTGGCCAATGAGACGCTCCGAGACCACGGACTGTTTGTTACCCTGCAGGTTTCGGAGCCTTTGTGGATAAGACCGTCCTCCCGTACACAAACACCAACCCAGACAAACTCCGCCGACCATGTGATGACGACTACCAGCAGTGCCAGGCCGCCTTTGGCTACAGACACGTGCTGAGCCTGACGGACAAGGAGGAGGACTTCAGGTCAACGGTCAACCGGCAGTTCATCTCAGGAAACCTGGATTCTCCAGAGGGCAGTCTGGACGCCATGATGCAGGCAGCAGTCTGTGGGGTAGGTGATGACATCACTTCCTGGTGATAGTGTGTGTTGGACTGATTTTAAAGGTAAACAAACAATGTTTCTGCATCAGTAATATATATATATATATTTTTTGGAACAGGATAAAATAGGATGGAGGAAAAGCAGCACGCGGCTGATCGTCCTCACCACTGACGCCGGGTTCCACATGGCCGGGGACGGAAAACTGGCTGGAATCCTGGAACCCAACGATGAACAGTGCTACATGGACAACAACGTCTACAGCAGGAGCACCAGTATGGTAGGTGTGTGCACGTGTCTGGAACCAGGGGAAGGTGAGGTCACCTGGTCAGTGAGTGAAACAGAGATCTCTGACCGCAGGACTACCCGTCTGTTGGACAACTGGCCCGGCAGCTGGAGAAACACAACATCCAGCCCATATTTGCTGTGACACAAAATATGGAGCCCGTCTACAAGGTACCGGGTTTTTCTTTGAGCAAATGGAGACTATGGTCTACACACTCAGGTTAAACGACCGCTGTCTTCTCCCACAGCAACTGACTAAAATGATTCCAAAGTCAGAGGTGGGAGTTCTGTCCTCCGATTCTAACAACGTGGTCCAGCTCATCGAAAATGGCTACAGGGTCTGTACCGATTCCCACAAACACTGAATATACACATTTGAATCAAGTTGTTTAGTTAAAAAACCATTTCATTATTGACATGAAGAAGTGAAAACCACGTTCCTCATCACTGTTCTGTGACAGCGACTGTCTTCCAAAGTCACACTGACCCACGACAACCTGCCTGACAACGTCAGACTGGTCTACACCCCCATATGTGCCAACGCTGGACCAGTAGCAGAGAGCGAAGGTGTCTGTGAAAACGTCCGCGTGGGCGAGAAGGTCAGTCCTGTGAGAAGACGTAGGTCACCTGGTTCACATGTCGGAGTCTGACGGCTGCTCTCCACTCCTGGCAGATCTCCTTCAACGTGACGGTGACTGCGTTCTCCTGTCTGGAGAAGCAGTCCTTCACCATCAGACCGCGGGGCATCAAGGACACGCTGACCGTCGAACTGTCCACCAGTTGTCAATGTCAGTGCGAGGACGTCTCCATCCCCAGCCCCAATATATATATATATATATATTTTTTTTTGGAACAGGATAAAATAGGATGGAGGAAAAGCAGCACGCGGCTGATCGTCCTCACCACTGACGCCGGGTTCCACATGGCCGGGGACGGAAAACTGGCTGGAATCCTGGAACCCAACGATGAACAGTGCTACATGGACAACAACGTCTACAGCAGGAGCACCAGTATGGTAGGTGTGTGCACGTGTCTGGAACCAGGGGAAGGTGAGGTCACCTGGTCAGTGAGTGAAACAGAGATCTCTGACCGCAGGACTACCCGTCTGTTGGACAACTGGCCCGGCAGCTGGAGAAACACAACATCCAGCCCATATTTGCTGTGACACAAAATATGGAGCCCGTCTACAAGGTACCGGGTTTTTCTTTGAGCAAATGGAGACTATGGTCTACACACTCAGGTTAAACGACCGCCGTCTTCTCCCACAGCAACTGACTAAAATGATTCCAAAGTCAGAGGTGGGAGTTCTGTCCTCCGATTCTAACAACGTGGTCCAGCTCATCGAAAATGGCTACAGGGTCTGTACCGATTCCCACAAACACTGAATATACACATTTGAATCAAGTTGTTTAGTTAAAAAACCATTTCATTATTGACATGAAGAAGTGAAAACCACGTTCCTCATCACTGTTCTGTGACAGCGACTGTCTTCCAAAGTCACACTGACCCACGACAACCTGCCTGACAACGTCAGACTGGTCTACACCCCCATATGTGCCAACGCTGGACCAGTAGCAGAGAGCGAAGGTGTCTGTGAAAACGTCCGCGTGGGCGAGAAGGTCAGTCCTGTGAGAAGACGTAGGTCACCTGGTTCACATGTCGGAGTCTGACGGCTGCTCTCCACTCCTGGCAGATCTCCTTCAACGTGACGGTGACTGCGTTCTCCTGTCTGGAGAAGCAGTCCTTCACCATCAGACCGCGGGGCATCAAGGACACGCTGACCGTCGAACTGTCCACCAGTTGTCAATGTCAGTGCGAGGACGTCTCCATCCCCAGCCCCACCATCTGTAATGGGAAGGGCAAAGTCCACTGTGGGATGTGCAGGTAGATGAAGGTCCAACTCCCTGACCTCAGTCCCCACCGCAGGGTCGTCAGGGTTCTAGCAGCTTCTAAAGGTTCTAAACCCGGTCACTGCAGAGCGTCCACTCTGGTCTCTGTTGTCTCTCTCTCTCTTTCTTCTCCAGCTGCAACGACGGCTTCGTGGGCCAGTTCTGCGAATGTGCCATCGGCGAGAAGGACGAGTCCTCCTTAAGACAGTTGTGTCGGAGGGAAAACGGCATCGAGTGCGAAGGACGAGGAGACTGCGAGTGCGGACGCTGTCGCTGTCACACCACGGAGAGTGGAAGCAGTTACCACGGCGACTACTGCCAGTGCGACGACGAGCACTGTGAGAAGTTCCAGAACAAACTGTGCGGAGGTGAGTTCTCCGACAAGTACTTAGAACCACCTGAGGTGAGGGGTGTGTGTTTCCAGTCCCTGAACACCCTGTCTGCCCCCGCCCCTCCCCCCTTCCGCCCCTGCAGGGAACGGTAAGTGCATATGTGGAAAGTGTGAATGCTTCCCTGGCTACGAAGGTTCCGCCTGTCAGTGCAAGGTGTCACAGGACGGCTGTCGCACCGTCAACAACTCCGTGTGCTTCGGGAGAGGAACCTGCCAGTGCAACCGCTGTCAGTGTAAAGAAGGCTACCAGCGGCCGCACTGCCAGGACTGCCTGGGCTGCCCAAACCAGTGCCAGAACAAACTGTACGTCAGCACACAAACCCTCTCGCATCCATCCATCCATCCATGCATCCATCCTCCCCCCTCACCCCTTTATCTTTATCTTTCAGGAGCTGCATTGAGTGCCTGGGCTTTGAGTCCAAAAGTGCTGATCAAAACTGCACGGCGGAATGCCTCAAAACCATCAGTCCCAACATGGTGGACCACTTCACGTTACCGAGAAAAGACTGTCGTCTGAAGGACTCCAAAGGCTGCTGGGTAACGTTCAGGCTGGAGCAGCTGGTCGGAGAGGACTACTACTACGCTGAGATTCTCAACCAAAGAGGTGAGGAGTGTGTGGTCACTAAGGAGGGTGGGTCACTCAGCCACCCCTCCTCTCCTGCCCCCTCATTTTTGGAACTCTTGCGGTACTCTTCCTAGGCATGAAACCATACTGTTGCACAAACCTCCGATTCCTGCCTCGACCTTTTTGCATCTACTTTTTGCCAAATCTTCATCGGACGGTTCATCAACTTCATCCCTCTGTAGTTTTCCTCATCCGACCACTCCTCAAAGTATTCCTTCCATTTTCTTCCTCCTTTACGATCACCCCTACTCCATTTCTCTTCCAACGTGAACCGTGATAAAACAGTTTGTAGCCTCCTCCAATGTTTCTAGCCTTGCTGCCTCCCACCTGGTCTCCTGCACACACCAACCGTCTACTCTTCTTCTCTCCATCATATCAGCGGAGTTCTCTACGTTTCCCTGTAATTGTACCAACATTCAAAGTTCCAAAGTTCAGACCAACACTTCTATCCATCCTTCCTCTTTTGTCTTTTACTCCGAACCAATCAGCCTCCTCTTCTTCTTTGTCTTCGACCAACAGTAGCCCCATTACCATCAATAAACTGTAGGTCAACAGCAAAGTTGGTGCCCCTCCCCCACGAATCCGGTATGGAAATGTTTTTTGTGAAATCGCATGATTCTTTTGGCCAAAAGTTTTACACCGGATGCCCTTCCTGACGTAACCCTCACCATTTATCTGGGCTTGGGACTGGCTTGTGCACCCTAGTGGCTGGTTTAACATTAATAATAATAATAATAATAAAAATAATAATAATAATAATAAAAATAATAATAATAATAATAACAACAACAATAATAAAATAGCATTAATAATAATAACATTGATAATATTGTTAATAACAGTTGTTAGTTCTCACCCCGTGACCTTTGACCCCTCCTCAGACTGTCCTGAGCCCCCCAACATCATTGCCATCATAGGCGGCTCGGTGGCAGCGGTGGCTCTGATCGGCATCCTGCTGCTGATGGTGGTGAAGTTACTGATCTACATGAAGGACCTGAAAGAGTACAGAAAGTTTGAAAAAGAAAGGGCCAAGAGCGACTGGACAAAGGTGAGACAGACCAGTGTCACTGGGAAGAAGGGAAGTGTCGTCACACAGGGGAGGGAGGGGGGAAGCTAGAAACTGAGGGCAGAAGGGAACAAGGAGTGAAGGAGACAAGTAAGGAGGACGTGAGCGCAGTCAGAGGACATCAGACAGGAAGAAGCTCCTGGAACGACACGGTGAACCATTGTTGAAAGGAGAAGTGAGACAGAACAGATCAAGGTTCTCCCCCTGGAGGTTGAGGAGGAGTGAGGGGGCGGGAGGAGGAGGGAGATAGAGGGAGAGAATCAGGGAGACAAGTGAGCAGGCGGGAAACACAGAAGTCACATTAGAGTGAAGGAGACGAGGCGTCTGTCCACAATCATGTTTGAATAATCCACCAATCACCTGTCCCTGTGTACAGGCCAGTAACCCGCTGTATACCAGCGCCACCACCAGGGTTGAAAACCCCACCTTCACTGGAGAGTGAGGCTCCGCCTCCAGCCACGGCTTCAGCGCTCTCGTCACTCAGTGGGACTGTTGATGTGGAGCTGCTCCATCACCAGGACAAGCTGCCATCAGCACTGCCTGACCTACAGGGGCCTGTGAGGGGCAAACATGATATGAACCAGACCAGACCAGACCCATCAATCAATCTTCTCTCACTGACCAGAGGTCACGAGGTCAGATTGACCACCGTCTATTAACATTTTCAGATCCAGACCAGGTAATCCAGGACGGACACACACACTCAGAGTCACCTGACTGTCACATTAGAACAGGGGTCTCCACGTCAGACGGGCTGAGGGCCATTAGTGAGCAGATGTTTTAGAAAAAGTTTTTGTTAAATATAAATAATTTAGATCAACTCTTTCTTCGTTCATTCTTAGACCACCAACTACAGTATTTTAATAATTAAAAAAAAAAATCAAGGGACAAATGACACTTGATACGGCCATACGTAAGAACATCATGGGCTGCACTTGGCCCTCAGGCCAGAGTTTGAGACCACTGTATTAGTTCTGGAATCAAATACATCCAGCGATACCAACACATGGGGAAACTGCCCAACAACCACGTTGCACAGAAATAAAAATGAACAATATCTAAATTCTTCCCCATCTGAATTACGACCATCTTCTCTCCCAGTGACGTCATCTTGAGCCATGAACCTCAAGTCAAGCTCGTTAAACCCTAAAAGGGTCTGCGTTTATTTGCTGTAGGTCAGCACAGCTTTTGTACACACGCTGCTTCCGCACTGCTGCCCCCTGCTGGCTTTTAAAAAACCTCGGCGATGACATTTTCTTTGACAGAAACCTGCTTCAACAAAACACATTTATATAATAATAATAGCTGATCATTTTTATAGCGCCTCAAAGTTACCTGTCATTATGTAGAATAAAATTGTTCTTCCGTTGAGGAAGTTTGTCTCTTTTGTCTCATTTCCTTCTGTTGCTTCCGTCTCCCTGTTGCTGCTGTAGCTGAGACAAAAACATGGCGTCTCCGGGTCTTTGAATACAAACAAACGGAAACACGTCTAATTTTACTCTACAGTTAAAAAAAAAAAAAGCAAAGTACAAAGTCTGAAGACCGTCAGCTTTGAGTCTTTTGAGTCTCCTGTCCTCAGTTGGACATTCTACTGAGACAAACATCAAAGATCATTCACTTTGTATACGATTATTATTCCCTCTGTTACTCTATTACTTACTAAATACTCACCTTCGAGGAACGAGGAAAACAAACTAAATATTTACTTTGTGAAGTGTGTGTGTGTGTGTGTGTGTGTGTGTGAGCACTCATCAAAGGTCCAGTCGTTCAGCAGTTTAATGAAGCCTTTATTTCACCTACGGTGAGACAACACCAGCAGCCCCTCGTTACCAGGTGAAGCCTCAGACTGCACCACATCACTACGCTATTTTTTCTCATCATTAGATTTTTATTCTCTTTATTCCTGTAATTCTCCATTTAGCCTTTAGGTGTCGCCCACAGGAATCTTCAGTCGTCATGTTAAGTTTTTTTTTTTTTCTCACACAGTTAATAATAACGTGAATGGAGAGGGGTCTTCTGTGGCGACCTCACACACAGGCTGTTACTGATGTCACTTCCTGTTTATAATCTAAGTCGCTGCTGCGGGTCAGAAGTCACCTGACCAAACGGGCGCCACGTGGAGATCGTAGATCTACGAAAAAGGTAAGACGGGCAGAAGAAGAAGTGAGCGTTGAAGAGAAAGCACCGGGTCCTGGTCTACATCTGCTGCGTGGAGTTGCCGTTCCAGGTGTTGTTGTCGTCCTCGCTGTCCTCCTGAGTCCTCAGTCTGCACACCTTCCCGTCCTTCTTGAAGTCTTTGGGCTTCTTCTCCACCTGGTCCTTGGAGGGAGTTTCTCTGGAAGACAAAGAAGAGGATGAGTTTCCACCGGGTGACGACGGATCGACTGGCGTGAAGTAAAATACAATCGTTAACACGAGGGAATAAAGAGCGCCGCCCGCTGGACATTTCTAACCTCTTGGCTTTGTCTGAGGCTGATGAGGCGTTTGTGTAAGAGGTCGTCTGCTGGGCGGAGCCTTGGGATGTTGGTGGAGGACCAGGTGGAGTTGAAAAGAGGAAAGTACTGAGAAATCTCCAGACGGCCAGCAGGGGGTAGAGGAGCGAGCCCAGAACTGCATAGATGCCCCCTTCTGACGAGTGACGGACCGCGTTGGCAGGTTGACCTGAATGCTGAGGCAGATAACGTCAGGTCAGCATTAGCGTTGTTGAAGTCAGTACCAAGGTCAAGGGTCAAGGGTCAGACGCTCTCACCGGCAGCAGAACGATGGAGGCACTCGGCGCCAGGTCCAGCTCCAGCAGAGTTCTGTTTAGGTCTTCGTTGGTGAACTCCCGTCGAGGAAACGTCGTCGCCAAGGAGAAGTTACCGTAGCGATTTCCCACTTCCTGCGACAACAGTCAGAATGAAGACGTTCTCCGACACTCATGGATCGTGTTCCTCCTCCCCCTCCCACCACAACCCCCTCCCACATCTATCTGCATCTAGGCAGGAGCACCACGTACATTTACATCTGCACTGCCCCCTATCTGTCAGACGAAAAAAAAAAAAAAAAAAGGAGCATGTTCCAAATTAGAAGAGAGGTAACTGACCTGAACAACGAATTGCCGAGCGTCCTGCAGTGTGCTCTGTGAGGAAAACTGGTTGGTGAAGGACGAGCCATCTGGGAGGCGGAACTGTATCCTCGCTATGGTGCTGTTGTGTCGCAAACACACAGAGGAGAAAGGTGTGTGTGAGACATCCATCACTCTGTACCACTCATTTAACACGGCCGTCTGACTGACGGTGACGACGCGGTCGTCTGACTGACGGAGACGACGCGGTCGTCTGACTGACGGAGACGACGCGGTCGTCTGACTGACGGTGACGACGCGGTCGTCTGACTGACAGTGACGACGCGGTCGTCTGACTGACGGTCTCCTTCACTGTACCTCCTCTGTCTGACCGTGACCTCCTTCCTAGCGTCCTGCTCCGCCTGCCGGGCCTGCAGTAAGGCTTGCCTGGCAGCGCTCTCCTCCTCTTGGGTTTTGGCGTATCGAGCTGCTCTGTCTGCTCTGTCCTACAGAAGAGGAGGAACAGAGAGGAGGTCAGACACTTGGCCGAGGAGAACAAAGAAGATGAAGGTGAAGGTGAAGATGTAAAAATAACTAAAACCCATCAATCGTACCAGAAATATACTATTCACTAATTCGATTCCCCATCTAAACATCAAAAACATAAACAAATATATTGATCATATAAAACAATAATAAATCAGAAAACATTTTATATATTTGCTATAGAAATTAGTAAAATAACCCAGCGAGAGACAAAAATGCAGCTCGGTTGAACACTCGTAACCACAGCTGCAGACTCGTAACTTGGAAACCTCGTATTTCGGGGGTCTACTGTACAGAACAGCTGAACAACAGCTGAGTGGATAAACACAGTCGGCCGTTACAGCGTTACCACAGCCAACAACTGAACGTAAGTATCACAAACGGAGACATTTCAAGGGTGGGTAAGAAAAAAAAAAAGGTTACCAAGGCGATCTGCTGTCTGACCCGCTCTCTGGCTGCCTTCTCCTCGGCCTTCTCTCTGTTCCTCTCATCCATGAGACGCCGGTTCTTATCTTCTTCCTGCTTCCGTTTGAAATCCTGCATCTCTTTCCAAACCTTCCGTCGGTCCACTTCCTTCTTGATCTCACCCTAAAGCACAGTGACACCAGCTCTTAGTTGGACTGTAATGAAGTAATGAAGAGCTGCTGTGTGACCACACAGGTCCAGAGTGAGCCTCACCTCCTTTTCTCCTTTTCTCTTCTGCTCCTGTCTCTCCTCCAACTTCTTGTTTATCCTGAATGATAAAAGATAACATTTGTCAACCACCAGCAGAGTTGGAAAATGTTCCTTTACTGACGTATGACTTGTCCACACGGTGAGAGAGTGGTAAATAAATATTTTCATAATTTTGTAATTGTTTTATTCTTTAAAACATTAATATTAATTGATGCAATCGCACTGTGATACTGCCTCTGAATATCTCGTTCTCTTCCACTACCAGCAGAGGGAGCCAATGTACCACCAGTGGTGCCGGTACCAGATTTATGTTCAATAATTCAAATATCTTTAGTGTAATGAGATGTGACTTTTTTAATATTGTTATAATAAACATGAAAATACTGAACAGAACCAGAACCAGAACCAAGGACTGTGTGTCTGTGCTTCTACCTTTCCACCTTTGTCTCCAGGTTTTCTTCAGCATCTGAACCAGCGTTGTCTTCACTCACTGAGGCTGTGACGCTGCCGTCGTTCTCTGGACTGGACACAGACACTACACCACAGACACAAACAGGTAACCGTCTGTAATGAGATGTGACTTTTTTATTCATGAAAAAAAAAACCAATTCCATACACACACTCCCCCCATGACTCAGTGAACCTGTCTCACTCACCCGGAGCAGCTGAAGCCACAGCAGAGTGTGTGTCTGTGCTGTTCTGGGTCTCCGACACGTCTGTCTCACCTTTCATTTGCTGAACGTGCATCTGAGAGTTTCAAGGAAAACATTTATCAGTCAGTTGTCAGACACAGCTTTCTGTCGAAAGTTTTCATGTGCATTTAAAGGTGACGTCTGTGTTTTTTTTAAAGAAATTCTGGAGAAAACTTCAATGAATCTTGCAGGCTGAAATGTATATATATATATTTGCATTTTGCTAGAAACACTAAGGAAGTGAAGGGGCAGACCCGACCTGTCGGACTCTGTGGATCCGTTTCTGCAGTTCTTCAGCAGACACACTGCCAGCGATGACCTCCAGGGGAATTCCATTCTCTCCTATGAAGAAGCTGGACGGTACACACAGCACCGGGTCTTCAAAGAGTGAGAGGTCAAGGAGGTTTGACTGAACTCACCTGACTGTCACCAATTTTTGTGTTTTTTTTTTTTACTCTATCAGTCAAACAATCTGCAGATAAACGATGGGTAAAAGGATACAGATCTGAGAGAACTGGACACACACCTCACTGTGAAGAGAGAACACATCAACAGCCGAGTGTCAGCATCAACAGACAAAAGTCCTGTCACTGGCTAACCCTGTGTCTGGACCAGCAGGTCGTGGGTTCGTCCGTCATACCTCTTGATGTCCACTTTAATTGCCACGCAGCAGTTGAGAGCCACCTGTGAGACGGACTCGTCCTCCCAGCTGGACATCAGCTGTGCAGACTGTTCATCCTCACCTGAGGAGACAGACAGACAGCGGTGGTACAGATGCCCGTCACGGTGTCAGGGCTAACAGACGGCGTCAGTGCTGCCTGACCACAGACCCTCATAACGTTACTTTCCACTCACTCTAGTTTAAAGTACCCCGGTGCACCGACCGGACGGTGTTCGGTATGACCACAGTCAACACGTCACGGTACGAACATCTGTTCTGATCGACAATAGAACCAAACCGACCCTCAGACTCCAGTCGTTCGCGGGTCGGTTGTTCATTTAAACAGCTACAATGATTTAGCTTCTATGACAACTGACAGTCTGAGTGGAGGCTAACGTCAGTGGAAGCTAATTGCTATGAGTTGTTATACAGCGATGCTAACGTTAGCAAAGGCGACCAGACACAAATGTACAAAGGTTACCTGTAATGACGACGACAAACACCAGACCCCGCCCTTTAGCCGAGTTAATGGCTTCTGGAATCGAACCCTCAAACCACAACATGTTGGCCAGCTTCCTTCTTTTGTACTGAATCCTTGGTGTGGCTGACTGTTAGCGGCTAAGCTAGGGTTTACAGCAGGTCGTCAAACCTCAACGTCATCAGCGCCGCTGAGCTTTCAGTGACCCAGTGGTGATTCGTGGTACTGCAGGAAGCCATGGGTAGTTTCACTTTTCATTTAGAGCATTTAGAGGAAAAGCGAACGCGTTTCTGCTTTGTTCTCTTTTCTTCCTTTAATAAATAAATAAATATATAAATAAATAAAAGAGCTGCGGGAGAATTCGAGCTCCAGGACGGGATCAGACCTCGGTGTCGACTGACGTTGGTTTCCACTTGTCAACTATGGCTGATGTGAATCCTGAGCAGGGAAATGAAAAGGTACGACTTAAAAATGACGTTTATCCCCCCCCAGTGTAGAGTTGTGTACTTTTTTTTAATAACATGAGTTTATTTGTGATACAGACGGAGGAGGAAAGTCAACTTCAGGAAGCCCAGCAGGAGCTGGAGACATGGAAGGTCAGAGTACTGCAGTACTGCTGTGTGAAGTACTGCACATCTAGACAAGGGGCTAGAGTTACAGATACTCTACTAAACATGAGGGGGATTTAAAGTAATATTCAAGTACCATGTAATTATTTAAAGTGACGGTTGTCATGTTATTCAGGTAAAGTACTTTGTACGCTCGCCCCCCACCTCTCTCTCACCCTCTTTCTCTCTCTCTCTCTCTCTCTCAAACCAAATTACCATATGATAAAAATATGTATTTGAACAGAACAAGTGCTCTTTGTCTGACTCCTTCCTTTCCGACCTGTCAGGCTAAGGTGAAGGAAGCTGATGACGTCAAAACGCGGTTGATCTTTGACAAAGTTGACGTTGATGATGTCAAAACCAAAGCCCAGAAGGAGATGACGGACTTGTTACAAAAACGAGATGAAGCTCAGAGGGAGTTCGCTGCCAACATGAGCAGACAGGAGGTGAAGTTCTGCTGCAGGAGGACCAGCTGTACTACTGGTGTGGGCAACCAGGAACTTCACTGTGAAATAAAAAAAAACTGTTTTATTTTTGCAGGAACTGGTCTTGACGCAGCAGAGAAGGAACCAGGACTTACTAGAGAAGAGGAAGACGCTGCAGGCTAAGCTGGAGGCTGCGAGAGAAGAGTCGGTCAGGCTGAGGGAGAACTTTAAGGTCCGAGGATTTTCAGTAGCTTCACTGCTAGTTGTTAACCCTGTTCTTAGAATGACAGTTCCACCAGTGACATGTCAATTGCCCTTGGACACGCTCCCTGATTGGACGAACCAGACATGTTACACTGCTGACGTTAGCTCGATGCTAACTCCTGACTGATCTCATCAGGTCCGTGTCCAGGTCCCTGACATAAATGTCAAGTTCACCCGTCAGGCCCCCGAGGACCACCATCAGGAGGGGGACTTCATCAGAGGGGTGTTTGTCTTCAGACAGATGCCCTCGGTGCTGCTGCGGGGGGGACAGGCTCTCATCACCTTTGAGGAGGAGCAAGGTTTGTATATGTTTGTATATGTATTGTATTTGTGCAGTTAAATTGTCAGTGTATAGCCTGGTGCATTGTTTCCCAAAGACTGGGGCGTGACCCTCAGGTGGGTCCCAAGCATCATTCGTTTTTCAGGAGGTTAGGGTCGTGACTAAAATATGGGTCCCCAGAAAAAAAGTTAAACACTTAAACTTAACTTAAACACTGGCCTAGTTTATAGTCTGTTACTGTCCATCATGGACTAAACTTGTCTGACTGACTGACTGACTGTCTCTCTGACTGACTGTCTCTCCCCCAGTGGCCTCTCAGATCCTGAGGCTTGCTTCGTGCACTGTTCCCTGTGAGAACATGACGGTGGATGTGGAACCACAGAAGATAAGGATGAATCCTTGGGTTCAGTTTGAGGTACTTAAAACAGCAGATCTGTTGACACTGATCAAAACCAGTGGAACAGCCAGTAGGTGGCAGTAAATGACCAGAGAAGAAGAAGAAGGGCCGCAGAGGGCAGAACACTCACATGTTAGAAGTTGTGCTCTCAGTAACCTCTGTGTTCTTTCACCTGTGAAGGTTCATCTGAACGTGTCCACCAAAGAGGTGAAGGTTTCCAACATCCCAGCCTCCTGCTCAGAGGGGAGACTGGAGGACCGGCTGGAGATCAGTCTCTCCAGACCCAGCAGAGGAGGGGGGGAGGTGGACAGCCTGGTGTACGACAGGGAGACGGGCACCGCCCACGTTACCTTCCTCAATCCAGGGGGTGAGAGTCAAAGTGTGTCCAACCTGTGGACCAGTCTCTTCAAATGTGTATTTTAATTTTTCACTGTTTGTAAATCAGCACGATTCAAACCTGACAGGATGTGGAGCTGTACGTTGTACACTGCCCCGTGCTGGATGCACACTTTCACAGTTTCAGAAGTAGAAAATCTTTTCTGCAAACTGCAGCTCAGTACGATCTTTTTCGACGGTTTTTGAGTGGGTCAAAAAAAGTTCTAATTTTTGCATCTGGTTATTTTTTTTTATGGATGTTTTGATCAGAGTTTTGTGACTCACTGATCGGGAGACGAATCTCACAGTCGACCTAATGTGATGTGTAGTCAATGCTAAGCCAGTTGAACTAAACACAGGCATCAGAGCAGGAAATAAAGTCTACGTCCATATATGGACATAAGTGGACTGTCGGTGTTCTGCTGGATGGATGGATGAAGGCCCGTTGTCGGTGTTCTGCTGGATGGATGGATGGATGAAGGCCCGCCTGGTACCAGGTCCACAATCAGGTTTTGGACAATGAGTGAAAAAATGTTGTTGATGTTCACTTCACAGGTGTGTGTGTGTGTGTGTGTGTGTGTAGTTGCAGAGCACCTGGCCATCAAGGGGGGGTACTCTGTGGATTTGGACACTAGGGTGCGCGTGAAGATTGAAAACATTCACCGACAGGAGCTCAGACAGTTCCAGGTGAGACGCTGACGCAGGTTACAGTCTGTACAGGTGTACGTCCACTGACCGTCCACTGACCTCCAGCCTGGGACACACACACAGGTCTTCATGGTCTGTACTGTGTCCCTGCTGGAGCTGAGGACGCAGCGGTGGCCTAACACCAGCTGCGGTTTAATAAACACCTGTGTGTGTGTGTGTGTGTGTGTGTGTGTGCGGTTCTTCTCAGACCTTCTGTGCTTCAACAAAACGCACAGTTCTCCTGGACAACATCAAAAACAGAGTTGACGAGGAGGAGCTGCAGGACCAGCTGGAGATTTACTTCCAGAAACCTGGAAACTGTGGTGGGGAGATAGAGAGCCTTCACTATGTGCCTGTGGGGGGCGCTGTCCGGGCTTTATTCTCCAACGACACAGTGAAGACAGAGAATTGAAAGTGTCAGAAAAATCAGTCACAGAAAAAAAAATGGTTTCTTCTAAGTTTTAATTTTGTTGTGATTCTGTGGAGACACTTTAATAAAGTTTATTATTGGCAGTTTGAACACCTGGAATCATTTATTTTATTCATATTTGGACAAGGAAACTGTTTATACCATTGTATATAGACTGTTGAAAAAAATAAATAACAAAAGCATGTGATTTTAACGCTTCAGCGTAGAGCCACTACGTCCTCCGAAACAGAAGGGGGCGCCTTTCCATGCAGAGAGTTCCACGTCGGTTGGTAGCGCGCATGCTCAGACTCAAAGTCAAAGTCAAGTTTTGATCGAAACACTTGTGAATGAAGAACTCTTTGCGGTTGTTAGCAGGTTGGCTGTGAATCCACATCGTCTGTAAAGCTGAGGGGAAAAAAAACACATCCGGGTACGTTGTTGTAGTCGGACTGTGTTTATGACGGACAGTTTGCATGACGGACTGTGTTTATGTCGGACAGTTTTCATGTCGGACTGTGTTCTTGTCGGACTGTTTGAACCGTAACCCTGTCCTTTAGTCACGGTCTCCAACCGTTTTGACAACTTCGTGACATAGAGAGCTACTTGTTTGATACAGACTTCACAAACAATGTAATAATAATCAGTTCTGGGACAGACGTTAACAGACATAACAGACGCACTTCTTACCGTCGTCTTTACACTCATTTGAATATCACTGCAGGTGTAACTGATTCAAAAAGCACAGTAACAGTTCATTTCTTTTTTTTTATTACACCCTCTTGTTGACTGGTTTTATTTTAAGAACATAGTCTGCGGGCACCTTAGGTAGTCCATGGGGGGCTACCAGGTGCCCCCCATGGACTACCTAAGGTGCATATAGAAATATATGTCAGACTATGTCGCCACGGGCACCACGTTGGTGCTTGGAATGACGTCAACTTTGTTACAACAGTTCCTGTTCTTGACTTTTCACCGTTACAGGACCACACCAGGACCCCAGGAACCCGGACTCACCAGGATGGCTGGTGTGAGACAGGTGTGAGTCTGTGTGTGTCCACTTGTGCTGCTCCGGTGTGTCTGTTGTCCTGTTGGTCTAAAGACGCCTGTGCTGTGGTCCTGTCCTCTGTCCAGGTGCTGTGCCGCAGAGCTCAGCTGGTCACATATATCCCTGCCCTCCACGTGTTGGTAAATCGTGTGACTGGAGCCAGAACCTTCGCTGCTACGATATTATCAGGCTGTGAAAAACCAAGCAGAGGTCCGAGTCCCGACACAGGTACGATTGGTAAAGAGGTGAGGAGTGGGAGGGTCAAAGTCAAACACTGTGTGTGGACCTTCCTAAACCGTCACTGTAGTATTCACCATCATCGTCTTCATCATCATCATGTTTGTTCTTGTTCTTCGTACCACTGGAGGTGAGGAGTGGGAGGGTCAAAGTCACTACTGTGTGTGGACCTGCCTAAAACTTTTGCCACAGCAGCGTTGTGGTTGACATCTTTGGTTCATTAGACAGAAATGAAACCCTGTTTCTGTGACGAGGACAATGTAGTATTCACCATCATCGTCTTCATCATCTTCATGTTTGTTCTTGTTCATTAGAACCGAAAAAAGCAGAGTCCAGTGAGAACCTGGACTTCCTGGGACTCCAGGACTCCAGGTTCCTGCTGCCTGGAAACTTGGGTTTTGACTGCCACCTAGAGGGGCTGACCATGCAGCAGCAGCAGCAGCAGCAGCAGAAGAAGAAAACCACAGGTCCTGAGGGACTGCTGTGTCCATCTAGTGGTGACAAGAAGGAGTTGACGCTGACCGAGGATGGCTCTGTAAGTCTGATGATTGAAACGTGAACAAACCTCTGGTCCGCAGCACCTTTTCTATGACATTTCCCTTTAATACAGAAGGCACCTGTGTGTGTGTTGTGTGTGTGTCAGGACCAAGCGGATCCTCAGAACATGAGCAGGTCCGATCAGTGCTTCGACGACTCCACCGTGGAGTGTTCCATCCAGCCCTGCCCCCAGCAGCTGCAGAAAGGTCCAGAACCTTCTTCAGAGTCTTCCTTTGTGGTTCTGACCCAGAGCAGCAGCTCACTTTCTGTCCTCTCTCTCTCCCTCTCTCTCTCTCTGTGTCTGTTTGCACAGATTTCCAGATGATGTTTCCTGATGCTCCGCCTTCTGCTCTCACTGTGGTGACGGTTACTCAGAGGACCGTGAACGACATGACGGCGTGGAGTCCAGAGGTGGAGCAGGAGAGGGAGGTGCTCCTCAGCAAGGTGGGCCAATGATGGGGTCGATGACATCAGCAGGTCGTAGTTGGTCGAACAGTTGACTCTGCTCAGTCCTGTGTGTTGAATGTATTCCATGGTAATGCTTTGCTCACTGGTTGACGGCAGCTGTGTTGTTGTTTTTGTGTAGTTTGTGGGCGGAGCCCAAGTTGTTGTTGTTGTTGTTGTGTAGTTTGTGGGCGGAGCCCAGCAGATCTGCTCGGCCCTGCAGAGTGAAGGATTCTGGGCGGACTTCATCGAGCCATCCTGTGGCCTGCCGGTGAGTCTCACATCAGCCCTGGTTCTGGTAATGTTTTGGTCCAACTCTGAGTGCCTGAACACAGGTTGGACCACTGTTTATATTATCACATGATTCACAAGTTTCTATCCAGGGTTAGTGCTCCCAGACAGGGTCCAGATGGGACCTGGGTCTTGGTCCAGGTGGGTTCTGCCGTGGTGCAGGGATAATCTGTGGACCTTGTTGTTCCAGTTCTTCGGTCCGTACACCAACAACACACTGTTCGAGACGGATGAGCGCTACCGTCACCTGGGCTTCCAGATTGAAGACCTGGGCTGCTGCAGAGTGATTGGACACCGTCTGTGGGGGACCCACGTCTTTGTCGGTACCATCGTCACTGAGGCTCCGCCCACCAGCTCTGTCATGAAGAGGCTGCAGGGCAGCTGAACAGCAGCTCAGTCAGACTGTGGGTCCAACACGGGTGTCGTAGTACAATCTGAGTACTACTGTTGGTGATATACTCCAGTAGTATACAGTACACACACAGGTGACAGCGGCTGACGCTGCTGGAACCACGGTGAAATGTTTTTCTTTAGACACATTTATGTGTAACACGGTTTGTTTGATTGGTTCCCAACCTCTGGGCCTCGGACCAGTTTCAGGGTGTAGATCATAGAAATGGTTCCATAGAAATATATTCCTTTTTCTGTTTTCACCAGTGTGAAATATTTATTTTGAAAAATAAGCTTTGGATTCTCACCTATCGACACATGTCTTGTCAAAATAAAAGTCTTTGGAAAAATGTTGCTTTGGTTATAACGCACCGAACACGCCAAACTGATACCAAAATATTTTTTTGAACTGTTGATGTGACTAAAGCCGCCCACTAGAGGGCAGCCCTCACCAGATGAAGCCTAAACCCTGTCACCCCCTCCTCTTCTCCGGCCCCTCCCCTCTGTGTTTGGATCAGTGAGAGTCTCCCTGCTGCGATGGTTTTTACTCACATGATCACCGTGATATTTATTAGTGTTTTTCTGCTCACATCTTCAACATGAATCAAACTAGCATTAGCTTTAGCATTAGCTCTCAGATACAGCTGTTACTGCTGCTGCTGTGTCATCAGTGTGGGGCTTGAACCCCCAGTCCACCGTCTCCAAGTGAATTCAATCAAATAAATAGAAAACCAATCAGGTCCTCAGACAATCACCCCCCCACCTGTGATCCTGGCAGCTGACCTCTCTAGATTAGAAGGTGGATGTTGATTGACACTACTGCCTGAATGGGAGTCTGCTTAGCCCCCAGTTGAGTGGCCCCACACCCCCCACAAAAAAAAGGGTCAGAGCCCATTAATCCCTGAACAAAAATGTCTGAGTGCTGCAGAAAGAAAGTTTCAAAGCCATGGCAGGGGAACGCAGCCCCTCAGTGGGTGTTGTTAGGTTGTTAGCTGTTCTCATTTAGTCCCCTCCACCCTTTCCTCCCCCTGCTTCGCTCAGACATTGTGATCAATGCTAAGTCAGGAACACTAACACATGCTAAAGTTGAGATACTGTGAGGTACCAGAGGTCAGGAGTAATACTTCAAACTGCCACATGAGGCAGTCATGGTTGCAGTAACAAGCCTGTTGTCTGTGCAGTGTAACACAGCTGGAGACATACTGTGATTATTTCATTTTTCCCCATCAGAGAAACTACTCTTTGTATGTGGCCACACGGGGGCAGCACCTGCTCTTTACTGCACCCTCTCAGTCTCACTCACTAGTTTGAAGACAATTCTGCTCCCACTGTGAAACACGAACATGTTGGCCCCACCC